GACGTGGGAGGGGGCAGGATAGGGGGCGGGGTCCAGGCTGTTTGGGGAGGCACAGACTTCCCTACCCTGCCCTCCATACATTTTTGCAACCCCGATGTGGCCCTTAGGCCAAAAAGTTTGCCCATCCCTGGCTTAAACTGTGGAAAAAGTTTCATAGAGAGGCCAACCCTTCTTAAACATCAGGCAATCCACACAGGAGAGAGACCCCATCACTGCTTGGACTGTGGGAAAAGTTTCCCATGGAGATCAGTTCTGGTTTAATATGAGAGAATACACACAGGAGAGAGACCCCATAAGTGCTTAGACTGGGAAAAGTTTCATACCGAGGTCTGACCTTGTTAAACATCAAGCAATCCATACAAGAGGGAGACCATAAGGCCATAAGACTCTGGGAAAGGTTTCAGAAACAGATCAGCCCTTCTAAACATCAGGCAATCCACCCCTGAGAGAGACCCCTGTAAGTGCTTAGACTATGGAAAAATGTTCTAAATAGAAGTCATCACTAGTTTTACATCCGAGAATCCATGCAGAGGAGTGACCCTATAACTGCTTAGCCTGTGAAAGACATTGTAAATGGAGATCAGAACTTGTTTCAAATCAGGCAATCCACACGTGAGAGAGACTCCATAAGTGTTTGCACCATGTGAAAAGTTTCACACAAAGATCAAATCTTATAACACTCAGAGGATCCGCACAGGAGTGAGACCCCATCAGTGCTCAGACTGGAAAAAGTTTCCTATATAGGTCAAACCATCAGCTAATCCAGAAAGAAGAGAGATCTCATAAGTGCTTAGGCTGTGGGGAAAGTTTTATATGGCGCTCATCCCATGTTTTACATCAGAGAATCCACACAGGAGACCCGATAAGTGCTTCGACTATGGAGAATGTTTCTTACCGTGGTCAAGGCTTCTTAATTATCAGGCAATCCACAAAAGAGGGAGACTCCGTAAGTGCTTGGACCGTAAGAAAGGTTTCAGAAACACCTCAGCCCTGACTGGTTTAGCCCAGGAAAGCACAGTGGGAGAGGCTGGAATTGCTCTGGGCCCACTGGAATGCTTTTAGAGTAGGGACACGGTGCCCCCCCTTATCCCTGTCTGTGCCCCCTTCCCCCCTTGAGGTGGGGCCGGGAGCAGGGCCATGGCTCTGGTAGGCTGCAAGTCGGGACGCAGACATGGGGTAAGGGGCCTGAGGCCGGATGTGGCAGCTGATGAATTCATCCCCATGATATTAGCATTTCTCCCGACCCCCGAGGGTGCCCCACTCCATGGCCTGCATCCCGTGAAACCCTAGGAGAGGGCAGGGACAGAACTAGATCAGCAGTCAGAAGTGCTCAAAGATCACGAGTCTTCCACTCTCTGCCCCCCCCCCGCCCCCATCGTCTTACAGAGATTACCAAGTTCGGAGGCTTTTTATTTGTCCTCTGGATTTGCACCTTTTTGGGGACACTGGGAAGAAAGGTCCTGTCACCTAGAGACTGAGGGCCTGTGGCCACCACGAGAGCATGTGTCTGACCCACAGAATCCCTGCAGCACAGCCAGGGCCTGGGCAGGAGGCCTGGGACGTGGGAGGGACAGACTGTGAACTGCCCTGGCATCCCACAGACGCTGTTTGTGCTTCCTTTCCTTTCACCTTTCCCATTGTTTCCTGATTTCTTTGATTAGCTGCTGTTTAATAAATTGCATTTGTTCTGAACTATAGACAATGGTCAGGGACGCGTCCAGAGCGGAGAAAGTGCCCCAGAGTGAGGACTCTCTAGCCCGTGTGGTGAGTGGTCACTATCAGGTTGGGGGGAGAGCCCCTCAGGAAGCCTGGGCCCAGCCTTGTTGGGGTTATAAGGACTTTTCCACACAGGAGAGTTGAAGGGGAGCCCTCAAGGTGAGGGAGGCTCTGGGTGAAGCGAGGACTCAGATCCTTCTGCTATTCGATTCCACCCAGGTGGTGTTTAAGTCAAGAAAGTTCACCACAATAACGGGACCATTTCCCTGCTTATCTCTGTGCATATTTACTGGTTTCCCCTAAAGTTCATTAAGTATTTTGGGAAAAAAAGTGTCAGAGTGGTGTGGAAGAAGCGAACTCCACTCAGGTTGGAAGCAACAAAATCAGAGACAGCTTTATTCAGGACATGCAATTGCAAGGGAAGAAGATAGCTGACAGAGAGCATCTCTGCCTCAGTTTCTTCAAAGTACAAGCAATATCACACAAGCATTTATACATTTTAATGGCATGCATTAATTAAAAACATCTGCAGTTTGTTTATGTTATCTCCTGCCCATTCCTGTATTTTCTCACTTCTGTTCTCAGAACATCGCTATCTCAAGGCTGGCTCACGCTGACTCTACTGTTTCTTACTCACTTCTGACGTGAGCCCTGCTGCCACAGGTCTCGCAATATTAGGCTAAGACTTAGCATGTATGTATATTGTAATATGGCACAGGTTAAATGATTAGTTACTTACTGAGATCATTTCAGTACAGGTAAAATTTCCAGTGGCAGAACACACTCTCTGAGTATGAGTCTGATTATTTACTAATTGGGTAACCAAAACAACAAGGACCCCTTCCCCC